AAAATGGCCTTTAATCTAACTCAGAGTTCTGTGGTAGGGAGACACAATTACTCCTGGCAACACTGATCTATTCCTGAGAGAATGTTGAGCACCAAAGACACTCCACCTGGAGCCTTTCTTCTTGGCAGAACTGGCCTTTGGGTAAAGAAATGCCCATACCTCAACTACTGACAGAGTTACAGAGTATCCGTAAATGGATAAAACAGGACTGTCATATCCTGCCAAGACAGGGTAAGATAGTTTTGAAAAGTTCCTTGCCTTTGAAAATGGTATGTCAGTTATGTTAGGCCTTAGCCAAAGTTGGTTGCTTCAACGCTGCAAACGTGACTTTGGGTGTTTGCCCAGGTAGCCAGTTGTCTCTGTGATTTGTTACATGTTCTGGAAGTTTGATTGCACTTCCTAATTACTCAGGTAACATTATTTCCCTTCTCAGATCTTTGATGGGATTGAAGATTATATAAACATAGTTACTTTCCTTTCATGACTTGGCCAAGTTATTTATTATACAAGACTTTAGCTAGTTAGAATAGGATATTTGTACTTATTGTATATAATTGTGTAGGTTTGTATTTACTTTATATAATTTCGTAGTAGGCTTAGAACTCTCTTACTTAAACAAAAGGGGGAGGTGTTGTGGGAGTATCTTCCTATGCCTCAGCCAATAGTCACTGAAGCATGAGCCCACAGTGTGGCGGGGAGCGCCTTCCTCTCCGTCAGCCAATAGCCGCTGAAATACCAGCCCACTGGGGCGTGGTACATTTCTCTTTTAAAAAGAGCCACAGATCCCGGATCAGGCTCTGAGTGTAAAGGAATATTTCATAACAGTCCAGCACTCAGGAAGTCATAGCAAGACCTCAAGGTGTCATGGTATTTTATTTGTATTTTAATAAATAAAGCTTGCCTGAGGATCAGAAAAGTAAAACAGCCACACTGGCCAGCCTTACAGACCAGGCAGCAATGACACCCACCCTTAATCCCAGTAGCCACAGTAGTTTGCCATAGAAATCAGGTGGTCGGTAGTGGTAAACGCTTTTGATCCCAGAACTGGAGAGGGTTCTGGATCAAAACCAGATGGTTAAGATGGGAGGAGACAGCTCTCAGACACAGTATCATCCTGAGGTTTCCGGGAGGCAGGATCACCATTTCCAACTGAGATGGAAGTAAGAGCCAATGGCTGGCTGCTTTGCTTTTCTGGTCTTCAGGTTGAACCCCAATATCTGAGTTTTTCTGAATCATCAAGGCAGGCGCCTGAAGCCGATAGCATGGAGGCAACGCTGCCTGAAGGCCCACTCTCTGACTTGGTCTCTGGCTCCGGCTCAGTGTGTTCTTAATCAAGCCACCCCATCCAGGTCCGGGTCTTAATCTCTGAAGGCTCTCACGTATTCGACACTTTAAACTTTTAAATTATTTATTTGCATATGGGGGCCAGTGTGTGTCATAGGGCTCAGGAGGAAAGCGAGGACAAGGGGCAGGAATTGCTTCTCTCCTTCCACTTTGTGGGTTTGGGGGACTGAACGCAGGTTGTCAGGCTTAGCAGCCAGTGCCTTGCCCCACTGGATCATCTCATGCAGTGCCTTTATTAAACAAGTTTCTGAGGCCGGAGAGCATGTGTTGCTCTCACAAAGGAGCAGAATTTAGCTCCTAGCACCCAAGTTGGGTGACACACCATCACCTGTATCTCTGGCTCCAGGGGTCTGAAGTTGTTGTGGGATATTATTTTTAAAACGTGTTACATCTGTTTTTACTGTGGAACATTTGTTTTAATAATGCAAAGATGTGCTGCATTTTTTTTTTGATGCATTTGTTTAACTCTGTGACGTTGTGATCCTCGCCTGTCTTACCTGAATGGTCTAATAAAGAGCTGAACGACCGACAGCTGGGCAGAGAGAAAGGCTAGGCAGGGCTGGTAGGCAAAGAAAATAAATGGAGGAGACGGTTATGGGTTCGTGTCTGGGCCGGATCGCCGCTGTCTGAGGGGCTCGAGGATCAGCGGAGGGAGACGGCCACGGTGCGGAGGCCGGCAGCGTGTCACCTTGCCCTCTGCCTTCCTGTTGCAGCCGTCCGGACCCGGTGATCCCGGAGTGCTCGCTGTGAGCCCGCTGCGCCCTTCTTCCGCTGTGAGTCCGCTCTTTCCGCTGTGAATCCGCGGTCCGCCCACCCTCCTTCCGGCGTCGCCCAGGGGACGGAGGGGACTGACGGACCGGCACGCCGCTGTCCCTCGTGCCATGCCCACCCTCCGGGCCCTGGGACCTTGCAGGACGTGAAGCTGGAGTTCCCCTCGGTCCCACAGTGCAAAGACTGGACTTATCCTATGAGGAGTGGACTTTCCTATGAGACAAGAGATGCAGGAAGTTTTGCCTGGGTTGTTCTTAGGCCCATACTCCTCTGCTACGAAAAGCAAGCTCTCTATATTATAGAGACATGGGATAACTCGTTTAATTTGCATACGGCAAAATATTGAAGCAAACTTTATTAAACCAAACTTTCAACAATTATTTAGATATTTAGTTTTGGATATTGCAGATAATCCAGTTGAAAACATAATACTTTTTTTCCCCCATGACTAAAGAGTTTATTGATGGAAGCTTACAAAATGGAGGAAATGTTCTTGTCCATGGGAATGTGGGTATCTCCAGAAGTGCTGCCTTTGTTATCACATACATCATGCAGACATTCGGGATGAAGTACAGAGATGCATTTGCTTATGTCCAAGAAAGGAGATTTTGTATTAATCCTAACTTGTCCACCAACTCCAGGAGCATGAAACCATCTACCTAGCAAAATTAACAATACAGATGATGTCACCACTCTTATCTGTGCATTCTGGTATGACGGTTTGAAGAGAACACACGAAGAGGATTTTGGAAACATGCCAAGTGGCAGCTGCACAGAAAGGCTGACTCTGAGGACTGTCACACGGATGTGGATTTCTGCTTAGAAAGGAGGAGATCTCAGCGATAATAACGTAAAGTGGTAAAAATACAAGTAGTTTGTTTTCAGTTAGATGTTGCTTCCAGACATGTTTCTCAGCAACTTGCTGAGCAACACTTTAAGTTGTTGGACTTCTACGGTAGATGGCCCTGATGGGTGATGGATTTGCTTTAAAATAACAAAACAAAACAAAAAACACTTTATGGTTTTATTGTAAACCAAGAATTTGGGACTTGCAAAAGGAGGTATTATTGCAATAATGCACTCTTCATACTGGAAGTTTATTTGTATGATATAAAGTTATTACTTTAAGCAAAATGCAAGTTAGGGGATTTGTTTATAAATTTTGGATAATTTATAACAAACGAATTTCCAAATGTTTCTTAAAAACTCATTTTGTGTTATATATAGTTCATTTAAAGTAATTTTACAGTTCAATTTTCTGATGGAGCCTCTTATAGAAACAGTAACAAAATGTAGAACTCTTTCAAATTTTTTAATATAATTCAGTAACTTAATTGCCATTTTCTTTTTTAACTTCTTGGTCCTTATTTTTAAATAATGATTTTAGCCAATTATCCTACTTTATTAATTTAATCTAATTAATACTTCCTTCCCAATTGTCTTCCTTATTGTAAACAAGAATAAATGTTGTAATGATGAAAGAGGCCTTACTTTCTAAAACCAGATATTCAAAAATAAGGACAGTGTTATATTTCCACCTGCTTTTTTTTCTTTTTGCTGTTTCTTTAAGCCAAATGTTGACTCGGTCTTTTGAGAGTTGCCTAACCCTTTTCACCTTTGTCTAATATGGTTCAAAGTAGACTTTTAAGAAACCAAACCAATGTAGCACTGTTTCTTCAATGTGAAACCCCCAAAAGAAAAGTGTCTTGCCTCAACCAATTAAATCCTCATGGCCCTAAATTAGATAGCACTGCAAAGCTATTAACATTTTTTGTAAGTTTTTGTTTTTAAACCATAAATTAAACTAAATCTGTGAAGCTTAAAGAAATTTTAAAAAAAGAAAAGGAATGGAAGGAAAAATCTGGGATCGAGAATGAAGAACAAGAGAGATCAAGGAATGAGAAAAGAAGGGGCCAGCCACCCAGTCAGACAACGAATAAGAAGAAAAGAGATAGAGAAAAAGAGAAAAGTAAAAGTCCAGAGGTGAAGGTAGATGGGATAACTTAAGAAAAACTGGCTAGGAATAAGCCAAACTAAGACCAGGCATCCATAAGAAATAATAAGTCTCCATACGTATTATTTATTTGGGAGCTGGGTGGCAGGCCCCCCAAAAGAGCAAAGAGCCAAAAATATCAACTATATAGTCTTCTAGCCTCTGTGGGCACAAGCATGCACAGACATGTGTGATTAATAATGATAAATCTGAGGCCAGGTGATATTGGCACACACCTTTAATCCCAACACTCAGGAGGCAGAGGGAAGTGGATCTCTAAGTTCAAGGCCAACCTAGTCTATAGGGTGAGTTCCAGGATAGCCAAGGCTACACAGAGAAACCCTGTCTCAAAAAAAATTAATAATAACAATAATAATAAAGTTGAACAGGTTTTTATGACTTTCTCTTAACTGCCTATGTTGGGTTACAGGGGCTCAATCACGAACCTAACAATGGGTAGAGAAATCCGTATGTGCTCATATGACAGTGTGCTTGGATGACCAATAGTGACTGATGGATTACTAAATGTGTGGGGACAAGAGTGTTCATTACACACATTCCCTTCCTTGCCTCTCAGATTTGAAGGCTGACACAACATGGGATCCTAGACTCTCCGTTTCCTTCCCCAGCTGCTCTATGGCTTCCCGGACGGAATGCTCACCATCCCCAAGTGTTGTCATGGCACAGAGCTCGTCATATGAAGGGGATTCTTTTACCATTGTTGGTTTGCCTTGTAAAATCGATCTTGTTGGATGTGTATGTGCAAAACCTTTTCACTGTTGCCTATATGTGAATTGAGCATCAGAAAAGAATCCTCCAAGCCACCCCAAAACCACTTCTTGAATGAAGATAATAATAGTGACCTTGGCCCAAGAACGGAAGGATACCATCGTTTTGTCTATAAAAATCTAATTTTTATTTTAATAAGAATGTTAATACTTAAGGTTCGCCTTTAATTCATAATATAAAAGAACTTTTTGGATAGGCACTATTTGTAGCTTACATTTTATTTACAGTCATGTGCGAGTGTGTGTGTGTGTGTGTGTGTAGATAACTTGTTGGTTCTCACTTCCCATGTGGGTTCTGGGTTGTCAGCTTGGCAGCAAGCACCCTTGCCCACTAACCCATCTCCCCAACTCAATAGGCACGACTTTTATAAGAAAGTTTTAATTTCTTTGTCGTCTTATGGCACCGAGGCAAGAACTCAGAACATTATTCACTATCCCAGGAAGACAAGCACATCCCCACTCTGTTATATCTGCAGTCCCTCAGAGGCACTTATTGTATTACATAAAGAAAAAACTTATGCTGGGCATAATGATTCAAGTCTTTAGTTCTAGCACTCGGGAGGCAGAAGCAGGTGGATCTAAGGAAGTTTAAGGCCAGGTTGCTCTATACAGTGAGTTCCAGGTCAGCTAGGGCTACACAGAAAAACTCTGTCTCCAAAAAAAGCAAAAAAGGAAACAAAGAAAAGATTTTAAGGAATTAGAATGTGTCCAGATGAACTAGCTAGAATGGATACTCTGATGGTATATTTGAGACTTTCTCCAAAACCATAAGATAATGGGTAATACTTGAGGAGTCATACCCTAATTCTTATATCTTTGTTTTGAGCCTAGCCTTTAATGGCTGAGCCATCTCTCCAGCCCGTACCCTCCTAATTCTTACTACCCAGGTGTTTGTGGAAGAAAGTCTGAAGTTGCTGCCACGCATCCACCTGGGCCATGGCATGAGGCTTGGGCTCCCCTCCAAAGGTGATATTAGTACCCACCAGGGCGTGCATGCCAGCCTTGTACAGCGGGAAGTAAGGGGGCTCAATATAGTGCCCCCCTTCTGGGTAGAGGATGACCTGGGGCTTCTCCTTCCCATGGGCCTGTAAGCGCTTGGAGATCTCATTGGCATAGAACTCGCTCTTCCAGTTGTGGTCATCCTGACCCACAAGGAACAGGAAGGTGGTGTCAGACCTTTCCACAGGGATGACACTCTTTGTCTCTACCAAAGGGCTTTGAAGCCCTTCCACAACATCCAAGAGGCCATCTTTGGTCACTTTGACTCGATCTCTCAGAAGAGATACTGGAGGGATAGTCTCATCCTTGTAGTTTATGGTGTTCCCAACAGCGACCATAGAGCCATTGATGAAGACAGCAGCTTTGATGCCCTTCAGGAAGGAGGCCATAGCAAGGCCAAGTTCACCCCCTTTGGAAATCCCAAGAATCCCAATTCCTGGACCTTTTACCTGAGAAAGACACAAATGAAAAATGGAGGCTTAGCCCTGGAATACTGGTGAAAGCCAGAAAGCAAAGAGGAAGTCAGCCAGGAACCAGGCTCCATCTCGTTCCATTGCAGCTGCGTTATAACCTGGGGACATCTATCTGTTTCTTCCCCACAGCTTTCCTTATGTCTTTATCATCATTCCTGGTGACTGCAAGGACTTTAAAACTCCTGTAATTTTTCCTCTAACCCAACTCTACCATCTGCTCCCACTTATATAACCCAAACCTCTCGTCACTAGCGAGACGAGACCAACTGTTAGCAGTTCAGAGACTCTCACTTTCAAGCACTGCATCCTCTGGCCGCCATCTTCACTCCCTCCTGCTTAGCCCTACCAGAAACCCTCCTTTCTGCCTTGCTGAGGCCTTAACAGCCTCCCCATCGCATCACCATAGACCACCCACACCTGTCCATCAGCCCCTCCCCTTCAGAGTCGGCTTCATCTGCACAGTGCTCCCTTGCAAGCGCTTTCCACTCCTTTGTTATCCCACCATCATCACCTTGGTCGTATCGGCCCAGAAAAGAACTAATCCTTGTGCAATCACTTGCTCACTTCCTCCAGGCCTGAGGCTGGCAAAACTATACATTCCTGCTGGCTGGCCTTTCAGTTGACACGAGCACCCATGTGTCCATCAGCCCTGCCACGCATCACTGGTGTTTGGCTTCCCCCATCTCCAGAGGACCACCTCACACCCTCTCCTACCTCCTCAGCCTCTTGAGCCCCACATGCCCCACCTTCAGCTTTTCATACGGCAGTGAGAAAACAGAAGCCATCAGGAGGAATGTCTCATTTCCTCACTCCCCACTCTACCTATTCCCACGGCTGCTCGAGCTCTCAGACGTCCCACAGGGGCCACCTCTCCTTGGGTTTGGGACGCTGTCCACTGTCTTGCTCCAGGGTTGGCCTCCCACACTCACTTCCGGGCTTCTCTGCTCCTGACTTCTCTCTGCTGGTCCTCCAGGTCCTCTCTGCTCTGGGCCTCTTCTATGTCCTCACAGCCCTGTACCCTAGGCCATGCTAGTTATGACTTTGTTCTCTTCCTGGTTCCCTGCTAAACCTGTGGGAAGATGTCTGTTGTACTTTCCTTTCTTCCAGTCCCTACTCTGTGCCTTCTGGGCGCCATCCCACAAGGACTGCCCCTGTCCTGAATCCCAGGGGCCTCTGGGCTATAAGCCAATGGCTATTTGGCTGACCTCTCAGAACAATCTTCTTTTCTTCTCTTGTGGCTTCCATAGCAACACCCTTGAAAAGTTCAAACACTGTACTTCAGTGAAGTGCTAGGAATTAAGTGATGTTGTGATTACCCTATTTTAAAGAAAGAAACAGGTCCCAATGTCAGAGAATTAGAAGTTGGTAAAATGGGGCTGGTCAGGTGGTGCGGTGCGGAGAGCAGCTGCTGCGCCAGCCTGGTGACCTGAGTTCACCTGTCAGAACACACATCAAGGTGGGAGGAAAGAACCGACTCCATGGAGCTGTGCTCTGACCTCCACACACCCTTCAACAGATGGACACATATGATGTCCATAATTTTTTAAAAAAGAAATTGGCAAAAATCTGCTCTCAAACTTCTCTCTAGATGCAGCCCACCCTGGCTTCACTTCTCAAAGAGCGCCAACGCTTCCAGCCACTTCAAGTTCTGATTATAAAATTATAAAACAAGCCAGGATTAGCACCCAGCCTGTGCTGTGCTGAAGCTAGAAAGCTCAGCGCACCCTGGTCTCCTGCTGCTGACTGTCAAGTTCACCCAGTGTTTCCACCTCTGCTTGCACAAGGGTATGGGGACACAGGGACACAAGGACACAGGGACATGGGGACACAGGCAGGAGAGCCCTGCTGAGCACATCATTTGAATGAGCACTGGCTGGGGAGGGTCCTACTTATTCTTTCCCTTTACTTGTAGCAAACCTAGAAATCTCAATGGGCTTGGGCTCTTTGTGAAATACAGAGAGGCTGTCATCAGTTCACTCGCTCTGTGAAATCAAGTGCATGATGACGTCTGACAGAGTCCAGTAAAATCTGAGGGAGATCTAACCTCAGGGTGACTAAGCAGGTAGTTCGCAGCTTCTTCAAAGTACTCTATGTGCATGGTTGCTATGCTCTTGGGGAGGTCATCGTAGTTATAATAAGCCAGAGCCAAGACAGCAAAGCCCTTCCCAGCCAGCAGACTTGCTCGATACTCCAGAAGGCCACCTCCAACTCCGAAAAGATCCACAATACCAGGATAGGGCCCAGGTCCTGGGGAAGAAACAAAATTAAACATTACTGAAAATATTCACAGTGGCATTAATAGGCGTTGGTTTTTTTTTTTTTTTTTTTTTTTGCTTAATCTGGCACAAGCATGTTTTCTCCTTATTATCAGGAGGCTGAAGGAACTCCTGTCCCCAAGTATCCAGAGTGGACTAGGATAATTAAACAGCTTTCTCTCCATCCACATTCCCCTCTATATCTAAGACTCGAATCCACAGACTTTTACAAAGAGCATAGGTTATGTTTAACATCAAAAATACACCAAGGGCCAGGGGTAGAGTACTATCTAGCATGTATAGCATACTAAATTTGATTATACACACACATATAACACACACTCATGTTGTAGAATATTATTTTAAGATTTGTTACATTTGTTTATGCTGTGGGATATTTGTTTAATGATGCAAAGATGTGTTGCATCCTTTTATGTTGCATTTGTTTAACTCTGTGAAGCTGTGTTACTTTGCCTGTCTAAAACACCTGATTGGTCTAATAAAGAGCTGAATGGCCAATAGTGAGGCAGGAGAGGGATAGATAGAGCTGTCATGCAGAGAGTAAATGGGAGGAGAAATCTGGGAAGAGGGGGTCAAGGAGTGAGAAAAGAAGGGGCCAGAGACCCAGCCAGACATGGAATAAGAAGGAAGGGAAAGACATACAGAAATAGAGAAAGGTAAAAGGCTTAATTTAAGAAAAGCTGGCAAGAAACAAGCCAAGCTAGGGTCAGGCATTCATAAGAAAGAATAAGCTTCTGTGTGTATTTATTTGGGAGCTAGGTAGTGGGCCCCTAAAAGAGCCAACAAGTAAAAACAGCCAACTACACACATACACCACACCACTATCCTCTCTGATCAGAAATTGCTAAGTGCCACCTGTCATTGAGCATGTGCAGCAACCAGAACCATCATGTGATGCTGGTGGAATGCAAAATAATGTAGCCTATAAAATGTTGTGGGCAGTGGTGGTACACACCTTTAACCCCAGTACTCTGAAGGCAGTGGCAGGAGGATCTCTGTGAGTTGGAGGCTGGCCTGGTCTATACAGAGCAAATTCCAGAACAACCAACACTACATAGATAAGCCCTATCTTGAAAAAAAGAAAACTATTTTTTCAAACCATTCATATAAAGAGGCTTGTCTTCCACTCAGGAATAGATGAGAGCTGAAAAGACTAAAGTCCTCTGTGTACACTTCTCCGGAACCACTCACAAGAGTCATTTAAAGAGTTTGCTGATCTTGCCTGCTTTGCCAGCATGCCCAGCATGCCCCAGTATTGCTATGGAACCAAACATGGCCCAGAACTTCTGTATATCCCGCCTCGACCTACGAGTGCTGGGATGGCAGCCCTGTGCCACATGTCCAGTTTATGGCCGTGCTGGGGATCAAACCCAGGGCCACTCAAAGGCTAAGCAAGCATTCTACCGACAGAGCCACGCCTTGTAAAGTTATCTCAATGGCATGATATTAAATGGCCTCTCCTGGGAGTTGATTGCTTCACCCTTCACTACTTAGGTGTCCTGTTGATTCTCCTGCCTGGTTTGCTAGAACTTCCACATACAGCTAAAAACCAGTACAATTTTTAAATATAGAAAAATTGGGCTCCGTAGCAGAGTGCTTGCCTAGTTTGAGTTCCCACACCACCACAAGGGAAAAACAGAAGCAATTCTGAAACGAATTGAGGATGGCTGGGTGTAAACTTTATTATTATTAGGAATCTCTCCCCTTATGATGCCATTTAACTTAACAGGGGAATGAAGGACCACCTTCCCGGAAACAGCATCATCATAACAGGCTTCTTTCAGCTGGGTCCAGTCTCCTTCCCTGTGAGTCCCAAGTCATTAGGAGCTACTTTTTTCTTCACTTAAAATCACAGAGAAACTTTGAGCAAGGGAAGGTGGAGGTTGCTCACCTGGAGGCAGGAAAAGCGTGGCGCGCACACGGCCCTCGCGCACGGGCACGCGCCGCACCCCGGGAGCCATGAAGTGACGCTCGTGC